AGTCGCGCGTGTACATGTGAGTAACGGAACTGATCACTGTTCGAAATCGTATGACAGTTTGCACAAAGTTAACTTTTGTTAGTCAATAACGAGTATCAAACCTGATCTTCAAGTTCCTTACGGTAACGGCGAGTCCCTCAGTGGCGTACTGGTGTCGATCACGTCAAAATAGCGGCGAAACCCTCACAACTGTAGCGGCGGAGCGTAGGTCCCTTTGACTTTCAAATCGCCTCACGCGTGTACAGTAGTTTCACAAACTTGACAAAACCAGTTCACTTCACTCGCCCACAACTGCTTCTATCAGTCGTTCGACTCGAAATACTCAGGCCCCACGGGTACCTGTCACTCAGCAGGGACTTCAACTCACAGTCCCATCGGCGATGGCCTTTTCTGGTCGCGCTGATCGGTTCAGGCCGCGTTTCAACCAGTCAACTCGGGACGGCAGTGGTTCCACTTTAACGAGCAGCCATTGTTCCCCCGTCTTCACTACGCTGACGTCATCTCTTCCACGAAGTGATCACGTGATACTCGCATGTCAAATGCATTCACTCAGGAGCAAAATAAGTTTCATTGCCCCGTTACGGCTATCCCTGTTAGTATAGTGTATGCAAAAAGCACATCCACACAAATCGCTGCATGTCATGTCCGTCTGACAATCTATAAAATTTTCTAATTACACAATAAAAAATACAACTCAATAGTGTCAAATTTACCAGGCGACACCCTCCCTCCCCAAAACATGTCATCCCCTCTCCCCCACTCCCATAGCTAACCATAAAACAGTTAATGGGAGAGAGAGCAAGGGTGGACATGTAACTAACTAACCCTCACCAGGGCCGTCTTCTCATGGTAGAGGTACTACTGTACTCTTCGTCGTGGCTTTAAGTAATAGCTGAACTTCATCTTAATACAGGTCTGTTACATCATGGCCCAATAAGAGTGCATCTGCTCTTCCCTGGCAATCTGGGAGTCCAACCTGCAAGTAACCACCCTAGCAAACAAAAGTGTACCAGGTATACTCCCTCAGGAGCGAGGCGCAAATACATGCAGTTGTACAGTTACACAATCACACATGTCCACAGATATGACCAAGGGTTCACCAAGGGCGATCCCAATAAGTGTCTTCAGAGTGTCTCCACATACCAATGACTCTGCAAATAAATACAATGTTCATTGTCACACTAGCCTGCTCCCCAGGTACATGTACATTGCACCAGTCGTCACCTCTTCACTATATTGTGGTCCATCTCCCAACTTGTTGAGCCATATGGGAAGGATAATACCAACTCGAAACCTCACAATACGCTGAACTACAACGTGGTCGGAGATAATACCACATATGCGAAGTCCCACTCTCCTCTCAGGTGGGTGTTGTCATTCGGAGTTGCTCAACCAAATCCTCATCCTCGACAACCTCACTATACGACAATCTGGCGACGTACATATACCCGTAGCAGGTAGGCATGTTCCAATCGCATCCAGATTACAATTAGTAACACCTCATCGGTTGTCTATCACTAACCGTCGGTAATAGTATTCCTCTCCAATCAGATACTGCTGAATTACTATCCAACGCAGGTAGACCTGTCAGGGAATGTTGCAAATTGAATTCCATATCTCCTGCAGCTCTTAGCATCATCTGGCTTACTCAACTTATCTTCTCTCGTGGTCCACAGACTAGTGAATGGGAGATGATTAGATGCTTGTTTGTTCGCTACCCTGGCTAAAGCTATCTTCCGTGAACACCCGGGTAATTCCCACGGGCACACACCGGTCTTCTCCTGCGTTAAAGGATAGAGTTGCGCCCCAAGCGGCTCATCATCAACCATTCGATCGTTCGGCATGAACGTTGGTGTGGCTGCATTCAACCTAAAATCCACGGTGTGATTCATGTCACTAAAGCCATAATACTGTGTTCTTCGTCTATTTCTCATTGGGTATCTCCTCCCTGTCGTTACATCATCTGTCGGTGCCTCAGTTGCCGTTTCACATGGCATCACTCTTTCTTCCGACATTATATCAGCAGAACCCTCCATGTTCTCACTATTAGTATGTGCCAATTCAGCGTCTTGGCTAGATCCAGATGCTTGGCTCGCATCCCCAGTCACGCGGTCTTGGTCATGTACTGAACTTCCCACACTCTCAAGGACGACAGTACCCTCATCCAACGTGCCACTTCCAATACATGGCGTATCAGCGGTTATAGTGCCGTTGTCACTCACTGTATTGTCAAGGCTAACAGTTACGATGGCTGGTGATGCATCTATTTCAGTCACAACTGAACTATCAACAGGTGGCATAACTGTCTCATCCTGTGACCGGTCAGTCTCTTCACTGCTACTACTAGACATCGCCTCTGTCACAGGCAAACCACTTTCGCTATCTCTCGCTCGTGTTCTCTCTAATAATATCAGATCATCAGAAGAACTCTCTATTTCGGTGTCGCTAGACTCTCTGACCACTCTATTGGTGCGCTGAGTGCGAGTCCGTCTACAATGATTCCGTCTAGGTACGTTTGGTGTACGCATTGGACGATCCGGTGGAACTGCTGGCAGGGCATAGCATGGCATCAACAAATTACGATGAATTGTCCGGCGCTTCCCTCCACTCTCCGGCTTCAGTACGTAAACAGGGATGTCAGGATTCACTCGCTTGACTACCAAGTAAGGCTCATGTTCCCACTTGTCTGCAAGTTTCTGTTTACCTCGGATAGATACATTGCGTATCAAAACACGGTCGCCAGGTTCCAAGTCGGCTTCTTTCGCCTTTTTATCATACAGATATTTGTTCTTCCTCGCTCTGTTAGTCATCTTGTTCCCAACTATCTTATACGCTGCCTGTAAGTCTCTGCGTACTCTCTCTACATATGTTTCATAGGTCTCTTTGTCCTTGTCACTAGGCTCCAAACCTAGATAGATATCAATTGGCAATTTCGGATGCTGTAACCTACCAGTAATGATAACACTGTCTTCGGGACGAATAGTAACAGGTTTCTTTATCAAGGCACGAGCAGATCCCATACGACCGTCAATACCAGCAAAGCAATGTCTAGACCTCAACTTATCATATGTCCTTTTCCCAGGTGTAGATATCTTACCAACTTCATTGTGATTCTTCTTTCTACTGTCCGCAGCAGCTCGCATACATGGCTCCAACACATTTGTACCCAATGTTATTGGTACTCGATTTCCATACTCTGTATCTGGAACTACCACTACCAGGGCATCCATGGTCTGTTCTACACCATATATTGACGGTGGCAGTCCTAACTGTACTTCCAATAGTCCCAATACTGGCACAGCTTGGTCACTAGCACCCAGTATTCGCAAATCAGCAGCAGACATATCTAAGGGAAAACCAGAGAAATGAGCGTCATAAAACCACTTACTCAATGTAGTTACTTGTGAACCTGTATCCATTAGACAACATGCGATATGGCTGCTCACTGTGATTACTTCCTCATATGCCGGTCCTACGACTCTGCGACGAATATCCGTTTGCATCAGTTGCAGGTTGGGGATGGAGTCATCTACACTCAGGGGTGTCCTATCATTTCTCTTCCTTGGGCGGTTACGTTTCCGCTGTCGAACTCTTCTTTGTTCATATCTCGCAGGCTGGTCACGCATCTTGCAATCAGACTCACCAGAAGTGGATGTTGTCTGTTTAGCATTATTCTCCTTTTTCTGAGGGCAATTCCTTGAGTAATGTCCCTCCTCTTTACAATAGAAACATCTCTGTGCCTGCCTTTTCTTGTCTGGACAGTCTCTGGCCATGTGGTCTGGGTCACCACACACATAACAATGTCTAGGCACTCTGGCCTTACCTTTATACTGTCTCTTGGAACCGGGGTCATCATTTTCCCGTGTAAAGCATGTTGTCTGTGTGCCATACTCAAGCGTTGATTTGACTTTCATCTCCAACCTATCCAAGCGTTCAATAACAGACGATAGCGTTGGTTTCAACTGTTCAGCAAATTCTCTAGCTACTCCACTTACAACATCTGTTTCGGGAAACCGCGTCTCACCAGAGTTGTCTTGTACCTCCATGGCATCATCAGTAGCCATTAGTCGGGTCATTGCGGGTTTCAACCGCGACAGGGGTTGGCATGGTTGGCGTCTCTCATTAACTTCTTCCTGAGCTTCTCTCACCAGCCCTACCATCTCATCAAAATCATACACTCTGTTTACACGATGTCTGATAGCGTCCCTGACTGCTTCATCTCGCAAACCTCTCCAAAATGTATTTCTCAGGCGTTGGTCCATGGCTGATTTAAGTATACCACCTTTCCGCTCTACTTTGTTTAACTCTTCCTCTAGTCTGTTAGCAAAGTCAGCAATGGTTTCTTTTTCTTTCTGTAGCCCCTTACTATAAAAGTTCGCCAGAAGTGTCTCAGTGGATTGAACATCACCATAGCGCTTGCGTAGCTTTCTCAGTAACTGGTCAAACGTAACATCAGGTCCCATCCCGTCTATGAGCCGAACCGCGCCTCCTTTCAATGAGGCTCTTATTGTTCGCAGCATCGGTATGGGGGACTCTTTATTACCATGTAAGTACGTCTTCACCTCCCCTTCCCACGTCAGGAAGTCAACATCAGATGTTCGACCAACATCTCCAGAAAATGTACTCAACTTGTGTCTCCCAGATATACTGCAGTGTAGCTACCATCTCTATCAGTGCGGGTATCAACCACAGCGTCATTGGTACCACACCTTCTACCATAGGGGCCCAATGACATTTTCTCATTCTCTAACTCACGATCTAAGCGATCGATATCATTCCCAAACAAATCTGAACGTTTAGTCTTCCCAGTACCTACCATAGTTCTAGATGACTCAAGTCGCTCTCGTCTAGTGGGTCACCGTCCCTCAACACCCGGTTAAGAAACGCTATTGTCTAAAGGTGTTAATTCCTTAATCAACCAGGAGATGCGCGTTTCGCTCAAATCGACTAACAGTGATGTCATCAGCGTCACTGTACACTTTCAACTCTACGTTGTTACCCTCACGTCTTGTCTGCGATCTGACCTTTTATTATCGTCTCGTTCAACAATTTTAAAGAAACTTCTAATACCGAACACTTCTATTATACGTCTGAAGGCAAGGTGAGTAATTTCATTTCGTTTAAGTGTAGAGTGGTTAAGAAAATCGACCGATGATTTTTACGTGGTATTGGTGAACTCTTTCAGTCTTGAGCTGTTGGAGATACCTACTCGATACTCACGATTTTGTAACCTTCTAACAAGATGTATATGTTGGCTTATCGTCAATTTTTTCTGGTCATATCAAAGTGTACAGATTGAAATAGTTACAATTATGTTCAATTCAACTGTACAGAACATGATTGACGAGGAAACAGGTTTTTTTTGGCAGTCTCGTTTTGACGCGAATTACAAAATGGCGCTAAGTTCAAAATTGACTTGTGTGAAAACGGTGTTTTGTTTTATGGCTGTTTTTCCCGATTTCCCCCCACAAATATACAACACATGTTGTATACATCATTTAGTTTTTATAGAATCGTTTCTTTAAGTTGTAGTAGTAAAGTTCTTTCTATTTTGAACGATGATATGTATAGTGAGTAAAATAAAATGGCGTCGATGTATTGACTGTCGTAGACTGTTTCGCTCGAGTCACGGTATTTTTGTCACTGTTTTTATGTTTTATCCGATACTATATCAGTATTTTTTTTGCATTTTTGTAAAAGGTCTGGTTACATTGAATAAAACAATTGTTGCTTTATAGCGCGTTTCGCGATATTTTCTTTTGGTTTTTGCCGTTCAATTTTACTAAGCGTTTTACTCATTGAAACTAAAAATGGCGTGTTAATGAAGCCCTATCACTATTGTGTTTACACAGTTGCTGGTCAAGATGCCCTTTCGTACAAATAAGTGGGCCCGTCCTAAAAAGTATTACAGGAAGTTACACGAAAGAAAGAAACTAGAAAAATTGAGCACTGAAGATGGTATCATAAATCATCAAAACAAGGTAAGCAAAGTAAAACTGACAATGTTTTTTCAGTATATAAATGTAGCTGAAAGTTAATATAATTATTTGGAATAAAAGTATGAAATTATCCAAGTTGCAGAAACTCACAAAACATCAATGTGTGGAATACATTGAATACATTTGTTTTTATTAATAGTGTGAATGTAGTGTAAAATGAAATTGAATTCTGAATTGCATGTTGCAAAATAAAATGTCTTTCAACATTTTAATGTTTGGGCTTTAGTTTTTCATTTTACTAGTATATGAATAATTATATGAATAATTATTTTTCACTATGTTCAGTTGTTCATAATGCTAGTCATAATTGTGTGAACTGGATTACTTCCTTTTTTACTATTTTTCTGTTTCCCAGGAAGATGTTTGCATCAGAGAACCTGAACCATTCACTTTTTCATATTTGAAACAACATGTCAATGAAGTCTCACTACCTTTGAGTTGGTCACTGCTTAGCTCCTGCTCAGAATTTCGGTTTAGCAAAGTAGAGTTCATCGGGGATGTCTCAAAGGTTTCAAGATGTGTAATGGTTGCTGGAAATTTAACATGGCGTGTACTGATCCATGGAAGAGATGTCACAAGTGGTCATGATATATTTGAACATGTACCACAAACTATAACAGCCTTGTCAGTCATCACCCAACTTATTACTTTGGTAAATACGTGCAATATATGCATGGGAAACACAGACCAGGCATTCATTGATTTGGTTCAGAGTCGAGGTGGAGAGATTGTAAAATCTGTTTCATTTGCTGGAGAAAAAGAAGTATCTGCCTATATTGAAGAAGATTACAATGCAAAAGCTGAGGATGGAACTATTTATAATTCAACTATTCGATCAGTTGATTGCATTCTGATAACAGACAGGAAGAGATGCTGTAAGTGTTCATCATATCGTAGCAATCTGAGATCACTGTCATCTAGAAGAAAAAGTCAGGGCAAAGAACAAAACATGTGTACAGACACTAACAGTAAAGCCAATTTCAGGTATCTTGACAAGACGCAATTACATGCAAGAGCAACAAATTTACAAAGAGAGAGGTCAAATGTGAAGAAGTCACTGGATAGAATTGTGAAGCGACTCATAAGTACTGAAGGCATTAGTGTGGAGAAGCCTTTACAGTCTGATTTAAAGACCATAATGGAAGTTCATTCTAAGGATGTTACCAAAGCGTATTCAGAAGACAGTTTCCAGCGCTTGTTCTGGGAGGAACAGTTACGGCATGCCAAATGTGCTGATAGCAGGCAGATGCGCTGGCATCCAACAATTATACGTTGGTGTTTGTCTCTTAGGTACAAATCAACAGCTGCCTATGATGCTCTTCGAAGTTCTGGTTTTATTAAGTTGCCAAGTCAGCGAACATTGAGTGACTATTCTAACTTCATAAAACCTAAGCCAGGTATTAACCAAGCTGTATTAAAAGAACTGATCAGTGAAATAAATTCCCATGGAAAATCCAACAGTTACAAATATGTGGCACTCCTTCATGATGAAGTCAAAATTAAGCAGGATCTGGCTTATGATAAGTACACTGGTGAACTCGTAGGTTTTATTAACCTTGGTGAAATAAACAACGAACTGATGGAGCTAGAGCGAATTAGCAGTGGAAAAAATTCTAAAGATCTGAAACTTGCCACTCATATCCTTGTACTCATGGTACGGGGTTTAGCCTCAAAATTTCAGATGAGTGTCGCATATCACCCAACTGATGGCTGTAGGGCGGACCATCTATTTCCCATCATCTGGGACACAATCAGCTTTCTTGAAGCATCTTGTGGAGTGAAGGTTCTCGTTTCGACCAGTGACGGTGCATCCTGGAATAGGAAGTTCTATAAAATGCACCGTGTCATGGGTGCACCAAGAGACACGCTTGTATTCAAGTGCTGCAACATCTGGACTAGAGAAAACAGACCTGTCTACTTTGTCTCTGATGTGCCCCATCTAGTTAAGACAACTAGAAACTGTTGGGCTAATTCTGAAGCACACAGAAAGTCAAGAAGTTTGTGGGTATGTAGTAAATTTAATATAATATGTGATTCAGTATTTACTTTCAACCTTAGGCTGAGAACAAAAATTTCTATGTTTTTCGTTTCCGCGCGCATCATTTTGAACTATGAGCCTCAGACGTGTTTTTTTTTCTAAAGCATTCTAAAATGCGCTTGTACTCGCACTTGTTTCAAATTTTTAGTTTAGTATTAAAAAAAAATCACCTCGCCGCCTCATTTTGAAATTTCCATTAAACGAAAAACAGATTTTTTTCCTGGCCTTATTTATTGCAACCGTTAGATATCCAAGCATCTCAGTGAAATGTACCAACTTAAGAAACATTTGGCCAAGCATAATTTTCACATTTTCTGGTGATTAAGTACACCTGATTACAAATTCTTGGTTAAATGAAAGTTGAAATTTTGCATAAGGAAAAGCACTATGATGGGTAAACACTTAATTTATTTTCTGTTTACAGAATGGAAACCCAATATTGTGGAGTCATCTGACCAAACTGGTAGTAGAGGACCGATGTAGGGATATTCATTTATTACATAAAATAGGATATGACCATATAAATATTACCTCATTTTCAATTATGAGAGTGAATCTTGCAGCCCAGGTAAGTACAAATTCATCTGCACATTGACTTCTGTATTTCAATAAAAAACTATAGATAAAAATACTGTTCAACCCATGTGAAAATTTTTTATCAGGGTGTAATAAACTGACCTGCATCAGTAAACTTTCACATATTTACAGGTTCTGAGTGAAACAGTTTCCAATGCAATTGCGACATTTGGACCACCAGAGGCAAGTGAGACGGCCAGATTTGTCAGATTAATGGACAAATTTTTTGATTGTCTGAATGTTAGATGTAAAGAAGAATGTATCCGAAAAAGAAAGCCAAACCTTGCTCCGTATACAGATGTAAATGATCCTCGACTTCAGGTAATATGTCAGCTTGATTATGGTAGTTCTGTTACATGCAAGCTTTTGCGAGTATTTTTTATACAAAAAATTTAATTATTTAATAGAATTGATGAAATCAAATGTCAAAAATAAAACTGTTCTGTTTTCTTTCAGTGGCTTGAACACGACTTTTTAGGTTATTTTTCTGATTGGGAGCAGCAGATTGCAAGGCGACCTGGAAATTATACAAAATCTGAGAGGAATACCATGTTTATCAGCTACCAAACAATGGAGGGTCTAAAGATGACAGGTGTGTAAATATTTTCATAACTGATTGATTATATGATACCAAACAATTTGTTCTGCTGACCAAACCAATTTCTAGATTCTAGTCACCCACAATGAAGGAAACCTATCTGATTCTCTTTCAGTGAAGTCCTTTGTGGAGATTACCAGGTATCTTTTGGATCATGGCGTGGAATATTTTCTGAGTGAAAAGCTTTGTCAGGACCCATTAGAAGCACATTTCAGCAAACATAGGCACCGTGGGGGTGATAATAATGATCCCACAGTACAGGCGTTTGGATATCAGGAAAATTCAATCAGACTTCAGCGATCTCATCACCTCCAATGCGTTACAGGCAATACTGGGCGATACAAAAGAACATTGGAAGAAGTAATTGACAATACTCCACTCCAGAAACGGAGCAGACCAGGCAAAAAGTAAAATGTATATGAAGTAGTAGTAGTTGTAGTTTTGTAAAATTCATATATATATTCAATGTAACAAGACAAACACTATCTAATTCTGATATATCTTATGACAGCTTTTCGCCCAGGTTACTGTAAAATACTTTTTAAGCTTGAAATTAATTTTCGCTATTTTTGCTGAAAGAAGGATTCAGTAAAAATAAAATTCAGGGATATACTATTTTTCTATATTTTACATGCACCTCATCAAAAATGAGTGAGAAGAAATTCCTTACAAAACGCTGAAAGTCTTTTCAGCTAAAATAAAGTATTTTACAGTATATTAAATAACTACTGGAGATTATGCTTACAATCTAAAACTTTCTGTTCAGGATCAGAAATAATATTAGACAACAGTATTTATTTTGTTTATGTTTTTATTACTAAATAAGAAACACCATATTTGTAACATTTATCGTTATGCTCACATCACTGTAGTACTGAACAAACTTAATAAATACATAAGTAATCTGTTGAAAATGTAAATATGCATTCTGCTTTTTAGGCAAAAAACTCGTTTCTGGATTCGATATATTAAAAAATGGCATGGTTATGTAGTTTTACATACAAAACGTTTACAGAAATAAAGAAAGAAGTGGGTGGCCCCTTTTGCCTTTGCTCACATGCAACATTTCATTTCAGAGACTTCCTTAGACCTTTTGATCCAGCAACATGTATATTTTTTCTTGTTTTAAATAACTCCATGACATTCTTGGCGAAAGAAAAACATCTTACCTGCACGTACAACTTGATGACCATTGCAGCAAGTTGCAGTGATATGGTGTCATTTATACTTTCCCTTGTCACACAGGACCATAATGCATTAACACGTTTACTTGAGTGGATATTCTCTAGAATGGGACTCTGAATGTCTTTAGATGAACAATGAACCTGTGATACATTAAGATGGTATTTACAAATAATTTCAATCTCTTGAAAAAATAAAAATGCTGAATCTGATAGGTGAAATAGGCCACCCCTGTCTTGTGTGTGTAACCATCCTTTTGTGGCCAACATGCTGCCAGTGTTTTTTACAGTTTCGTTTTCTTTAAACTTTTGAAGTAAAGAAATGTATTGACTATTTTTTACTTTCTGTTTCTCAAGCTTTCTTAGTAACTTGAAGGGCACATAACCTGCAAAACATCTCAAGGCTTGTCTCTCATCTTCACTAAGGCTGACATCTTTCAGCACATGCTCTCTGTCGTCTTGTTTTTCTGACTTGATTCTAATTAGGCTAACTAACCTAAACATAAAAAATCGTGACAATAGAAAAACAATGTTTTCATCAATAACGCTGTCCACCAAAGAACTAATAAAAGTTATAACTTTTGATGTGACTGATGCATCAATCCACACATTGTAAAAAGTGTGCCACACTTCCTCATTGTATGATGAAAATAGATTAATATCATCACCAGCCGTTATCACTTTCCACATTTGATCACAAAGAAGTTGAACAAAATCTGGATCAAGTTTTTTGGTCTTCAGTTGTGTTATAATTTCATAGGCCAGCCTACAAATATCAGCACCAAAAACACTAGAGCTGAAGTTCAAGTTTTCATCATTGTGTATGGCTGTGAATGCTTGTGTTGTTAGTTCTTGCATGTCTTCTTCAAGGTTGACTTGTCTGTATTTAAAATTCCTGTTGTGCTTGAAAATACCTAAGTAAAATATGAAGGTTGCACATAATTAGACACCAGACGACTAACTTTTAAATTAAGCGCTCATGAAATAAGTTTCTGATGTGAAATACATGATTTTGTTATCTTACCTTTTTGTGATTTTGATGCTCCTTTTAAATTAGTTTCTGTATGTTTTTTGTCAACTTTTGGAACTGTGGGCAAAATAAGTTTCATTTTAAGAACAAGTATTTGCATTAAAGTATTTTCATTATTAAAGTGATATAGCAGCATTTACACAATTACTGGCGTGATTTTGATGACAACTAATAACTCAAAATTTGTGATGTGATATTATAGTTTGTTAACACTTTTATTTAATATTATTAACAGTATAACTTACCCGCAGAGCTTGAACTGGTAGGATGTTCTTTCATACCATTTTTATCATGTTTATGAAGAGACGCTATGGATATAAATAAATAAAAAATTAATAAATAAGTGTAATTTTTGTCTTACGAATGGTAGATCATTCAACAATAATATTCCTCGCGGGAGTTGGTCAAATACTTTACTTAAAGTATGACCCTTGTTTTTGACATTCTATCAAAGGGTAATTCGATATTTTTTTCCTGCCATACCTAAAGAATGCAAGAAAAGAATAAATAGTATGACACGGTGTACAAATTTTACACCATTGAGATTTTATATCTGAATTTCGTTCTCAAATCCCCCCCCCAACAAAAAATCAGGAACGGTATAGGAAGTGGCACAGTCAGCTGGCGTACACACGTACAAATAAAATGCGATCATTTTAACGATACATACTAAATTTTAATTGATCGCCATATTTTATTACCAAGCGCACGCCGAGTGACTTGGTGAATTGGCCCCGGCGTTAAATGCCTCGGCCGGAAACCAGACAAATGTTTCAAAGGCAGGCAAATGTTTCAAAGATTTTCAGACTCCTACCTTTTATATCCTGCTTGTGGCCGCCCTTTACGTGTCCTCTAAAACCACTTGCACTTTTGTACTGCTTCTGACAAAAAGGACAAATATAGACGAATTGCAATACAGATTTTCGTCTTGCAGTCGTGTTGGGTCCGTGTTCGATGTCCGGCTGTGTGTGGGCGGTTACTTGCGATTCGACAGAATCTACAGGAGTATGTCGTTCTTCTGGTAAGCCTGGACTGTCATCGGGTTGTTCTTCTAAAATACTATCCCAATCGATGTCTTCGTCATCGAAACCAACAAAATCCTCATTAAATTTCCAAGACATGGCCTACGATTTAGATTCTAGATAGCGCACGTACTCGTAATCACAACAAAAACAAAGTAGGTTCTGCGCATGCGGAGTCTTGTTTACGCAAAGAGTTGTGGGTAAAATTACGTCATACGATATGCTAAGTTACATCAGATGCAGCTCCGATATTTCCGGTAACTCGATGCGGGAGGATTAAAAAGATAAACATCGAAACGCGCATACGGACAATAGAAGTCAGATCGTTTCTTAACCGGGTGTTGAGGGACGGTGGCAATACTAACTAGAGTTGGTATCAGTGATTTGATGTGTACTGCCCTCTGTAGGTGACATATTGTCAATCATTACACAGTAATAAATACACTTGGCAATATTAACTAGCGTTGGTACCAGTGATTTGATGTGTACTGCCCTCTGTAGGTGACATACTGTCAATCATTACACAGTAATAAATACACTTGGCAATACCATGGAGGTAAAAAAAGAAGGAGCACTGACGCCTATTGTTTCCTTTGTGTACTATGATAGTTGGCGATTGTTTGCCAAGCAAACAATGCGCTGTCCGTTTTCCTGTTATCTGTTTAATCCCTTAATGCGGATTTTGCGGTTCGGAGTCTTTCGACAAACTTCGGCAATCATTCGTATGCACTGCGCATGTGCAGAACCAGAAAAAACAAACATGGCGTCGGGCGTAACAGGAGTTCCTGTCGAAATTTCCGATATAGATTTTTCTGCGGAAGAATGGGCAGACTTGGCCGTAGTTGAGGATGAACTGGCTTTTTTTCATCAGTCATTTTGTATATGTGGTGGCGAAGCGACAGAAAGCATGATTGCATGTGACGACAACAACTGCACAGTGATATGGTTTCATTGCGAGTGTGCAGGGTTGACAGCAAAAACTATCCCAAATAGCCCATGGACTTGTCCAATGTGTACTGGTAAGTGTATATTATATTTGTTGTACTTGTTTTTACCGCGATTGTACAGCTCCTAAATTA